TAATCAGGCATGTCTAAAAGATAAAAGTCGATAACAAAACTTACAATAATACACTTTTGATCAACAAGTTCATAAGAATCATTCATAGGTTGCGCAAGGAACTTATGGGCTGTTCAACAAAAATTGTGTAATAGGAAGTCCGTGTAGTCGGAGGGATGTCAGATTTTTAGCTCCGCGTAGTGTGGGAATCGTGTACCCAGAATGCCGTGTTAACGGAGGGTTTACTGTACATTCAAAAATATAAAGTGGTAGTGTTTGGTGTTTACTCATTCTCGAATATTTTTGGATCCCTACTACGGAATAAAATTTTCTAAATATCAAAAAGAAAGAAATAAGTCGTAGAAATATACGTACACATACGTGCCGTATTTTAATATATATATATATATATATATATATATATATATATTAAATGTTAAATATGAACAAAGGTCATCAGAATTCATTTTAGAGGCATGGTTTCTTCAGCAAAGTATCTTATTTTGATCCCTAGTATCAAAAATCATATGTGCCTAAGTGACCTTAAAATCGACTCTCCCTAATATATATATATATATATATATATATATATATATATATTAAATTTTTTATATAATTTTGATGTTGAAATATGTGAGATTCAGTCTTCACGGCAATAAAAAATTAATCAATTAAAAAATTTGTATGACTTCAGTCTGCACCCGTGCATCGGAACACAGAATAGCGGGATGTACTTTACCAATTCCATAACAAACTCATTCGAAAATTTATATATTGTTCAATTTAAAGTGACAAGAATTGGTTTTTGGTGCATTGTGAACATTTATAATTATGAAATAATTAGGATTAATTCAATTACATGTAAGTCCATATCACTTCTTATATATTAGTTTTAATTAATAATTTCTATCTGTTCCTTCAAACTAGAGTCCACTGAAGATGACACAAAACAATGTGTCGAAACGTATGGAAAAAAAAAATGATTTAAAGTCATACAAATTTTTTAATTGATGTATTGCCCTGAAGGCTGAATCTCATATATATATATATGAGATCGATGTTGAACATATTTAAGAGTAACTAGCAGACCATTCGTCGAAATAAAAATGTAATAAAGTATTTAAAACCTTTATTCATACGTTTTGGAAACCTCAAAATCGTTTTAATTTTGTGGTTATTCATCATTATTTTTCCAAAAAAGGTTTTTTTCGAATATTGATACAATTTTAATTTTCTAAAAAAATTTCGTTTTGTTCTGGTGTTGCTGAATGATGACACACATCTGGTGTCAAACATCACACAGCTGCAAATTTTTACTATTTTTCCAACAGATGGATTAGCTTAATGTTGTATTTTTCTACATCAATGTTGTTAACTTTATTTCAGAATATTGACTTTGAAAATATGGCACTGACAAGGGACTGTGTTCACTAGGCTGAGATGAAACAAACTATTCCAAATGCCTTTGTACAAATTTGCGAGGTAAATAATTATTCTTATCTATTAAAAGTAGCATTATTATTAGTACTAGTACGTACATTACTAATAGTAAAGCAATATTATGTACTATTAGTAACACAATGTTACATTAACATAACATTAGTCTGATAAGACCCAGAAATATTTATTATGGCTTGCTTTGAATGAATCAATAAGTGAATAAATAAATAATAGTAATAATACTATTAATAAAACATCAGCTTATAAAATAGTTACTCTTTTAATATGATTAAAATTTATATATATATATATTATATATATATATATATATTGAATTGCATAAATTCAATATTATTGATATAAATATTCAATTCAAAGTTTCAACATCGAACAAAAAAATTCTCAATACATATATATATATATATATATATATTATATATATATAATATATCTTTTACAACTATAAATGTTTCTTTTTTAGGAAACACACACGCAAACGACAGCTATGAATGCCATGGAACTAATGCAATTTTGAATTCAGGTATATTTAAGTAGTTAATTTACATGAGCATTATTGTAAATGATGAACTATCAAATTATTTGTTATTTAAAATTATAAATATTCTCTTCAGTTTCTTTTCTCACCATCACTTGAAATGAATGAGAAAATGTTAAAGATTTAGTTTTATTTTTAATTTATGTACTTTGTGGTTTGTAGGTTCTACCTGTGTAACCTCTAGAGTTAGTCGGCCTTTTTTTGGACGAGGATGTGGGAAATGGCTGGTTCCACATTTCTTGTTCACTCAAAGAAAGAGGCATATTCTGTGATAAACAGCCCTTGTAGCTTTCAGTCCTTCAAGGTAATTATTTACATATTGCATATTTTTTAAATATTATATTCAATATATATGAAATTATTAAATATTTTCTTAAAGCAATGTAATAAAATAATTTATTCTAAAAAATAATTAAATGTATTAATTTCAGGACTTATATATGGTGGATACACAATTCTTTCCCGGAAACTTCTGTTCTTCCATTTGCAATATGCTGAAAAAATCTTACCCATGCAATGATATGTGTATATTACTCATCCACCTTAAAGGAAGCAATTCACTTATATCTAAGATAACTTCTAAGGAATACAATATGCAATCTGTGAACATTAGAATAGCGTTAACAAATAATCTACATAAGGGTATCTTTAATAATAATATGGTGATTGATATTTGTTTGTCATCTATTCATGATGACTTAATTGATTGCAAAATACGTGATATCATTACGTACAATATGAATTATCAGTTCTTTAGTTCTGCCGTTACCGAATCAATAATCTTAGCACATCGAAATATTGTGATCACAACTAATCATTATAATGAAACAAAGTATAATAAAATTGGTGCTCTTTTGGAAGTTCAGAAACAATATCAAAGTCAGTGTATTACATATAATAAAAATAAATTAAATTTAGAAGATAAGTGTGTTAAACAGTCCAACATTCCTGAAAATATTGCCATTCTGAAAATGAGAAACAAAAATACTTCAAGCTTTACTGGATCATCAGATACTTATGATGATCAACCTGACAATTACAAGTCTGATTATGCTACTAACAGCGCTTTATTTAATATTTTATCTTACCAAGAGTCTGAAAGTCTATCAGGGATTGCATTCAGAATGAATGGTATATCTGTAAATCAAGAATCTTCAAAAAAATTGGCTTCTGGAAATGGTCAGAGTGATTTTATTTCAATGACAAATGATTTTAAGGATCTGACTGGAAATAAAAAATCATCATACCATGAACGCTGGGGAATATCGCCTCGTCTACGCTTGTGTGGTGGTGGTGAAAGTTCTTTAAATAGTGGTACTACTGGATGGGGAAGCCCACCTGGTTCTAATACTGGAAACGGTAATTAAATTATATAATTATATGAAATTGTTCAATGTATATTATAGCCTTATCTATTGTTCAGCTAATTCTGGAAATTGGGGTACAAGTGGTGGTCCTGGGGCTTCACAATCACAATGGAATGCTAACAGTGCAACTGGCACTCAACGTCCACCAACATCACAACCTGATGGTAATTCAAGTTCTCACTTTTAGTACTTTCTTCTTTTGCCATATTTATTTTTTTCAACTTGTAGGATCTTCAAATAAAGCAAATGCAACTGCTTCGAACACTCAAAATGTTGTTCAAACTCAGGGTAACAATACTCAAAATAATAATGGTCCAAATTGGAGTACAAATACTGGCCCTACGGGAGCTAACACCAATCAATCAAAACCTGTTAGTTCTACGGGAAACTCAGCTTCAGGGCCTAATAATGGAAATATTAATACTTCCAATGCGCGTAAGTATCAATTTATTCAGATGGAAAAAGCAAAAGTTCTAAATTGAGTTAATAAATAGGGAAAACAAGAGTAATATACAAAGTTTTGAAATTTTTTTTTATATAGTTTATTTTAATTTTTTGTTCAAACTTATTTTGCCTTAACTCACTTGAAAAAATTATGCATTATAAGTTATACTTTAAAACTATGCTTGTTTTAGAAAACAGCAATTTAATAATTTGTGTTTACAGCTATAAACACTACTAGTAATGCAGGAACACCTGCCTCTGGAGCTTTATCAAGTACAACCACTAATCCCTGCAGTAACTCTGCAAAAAATCAGCTTGAACAGTTAAACACAATGAGGGAATCTTTATTCAGTCAAGATGGCTGGGGCGGGGTAAATCACTTACTTGTACTATATTATTCACGTAAAATATGCATCTGTATATGTAATTAGATACTAATGAGTTGTTTAAAAAATTGTCATTAATCTTTTGTCAATAGAGATATCTTCATATAAAGAGTATTGCTATTTTTCTGTGTGCTCACAGTGAAGTATAAAACTATTGGTAATACTTTTTTTTTCTTCTAATAGCAACATGTTAATCAAGATACAAATTGGGATGTACCTGGCTCTCCAGAACCTTCTGGACCAAAACCGGACCCTAGTGGTGGACCACCAGTTTGGAAACCCAGTATAAATAATGGTATATATTTACTTATACAGTATTATGAGTGGATTCACACTTTTATTTCCATGCCCTGTTTTATTGTCATATATATGGTTTGTTAAAGAGTTTTGTATAATTCAATTTATACATCACTTTTTATTTAAGTAATGTCAACTATGTCTCAATTATGATATTTATTTAGAATTTTATAACATAAATATAGATTTTTATATATATAATTTGTGGTAGCAGGTACTGATCTTTGGGAAGCAAATTTACGTAATGGTGGCCAACCGCCACCACAGCCTGCTCAAAAAACACCTTGGGGTCACACTCCAACTACTCACCTTGGTGGAACATGGGGAGAAGATGATGCCCCATCTGATTCAAATGTTTGGACTGGAGGCCCCACACCTCCACCTGCTCAATGGGGAACAAATAATGTTCCAAGTAGTGGTATGTGGGGAGGTATGAATGATTGTGCAATGTTAGATTTGTTTAATCAAATTATTAGAAATGTAATTATTATTTGTTGACATATTTTTTTGATTATTAGTTTTTTTTGTAACTATTTAATTTGATCATATATAATATTTAGAACATAATTGGTGAAACTATGATTATACTGTAATAAGTATTCATAGGAATTTATAAATCCTTCAACGCCCAGTTTTTTTTTTTATTAAATTCAATAAAATACAAAAAATAAGTTTTCAAATGACAACACATGACATAATAAAATATGTATTAAAAATCAGTGTTATATATTATCTATTATATATTTATATATATATATATATATATATATATATATATATATATATATATAGGGTAGGGTGGGGTTCAAAGAGCTAATTTGACTTTTATTGATTATACGGTACAAAGTAAACTAAATAAACTATATCATAATGCATACTACGTATCAACCAACGATTTTTTATAAAGGGGCCGTTCAAGTATTACGTAAGCACTATAGGGGGGCGGGGGGGGTTATTGATTTGCTTATTTATGTGATATTTTGGTGACAACTTTGCTTACTTTTGCTGACAAAGGGGGAGGGGGGTAAATAATTGTACTAAATCTGCTTACGTAATACTTGAACGATCCCAAAGTAAAAGTTACAGTTAAATAACAGTTATATAAACATATTGTAAAAGATAATATAGTTCATAACGAAACCTAAATTAAAACTTTTTACAACTATATCTAGTTAATAGAATCGTTCATAGGTTGCGCAGAAGAAACTCGTGCTTGTTGAGTGAGATTAGTGTTATCGGAGGGATGACTATATATATATATATAGATATAGTTATCAACTATATTATCTTTTACAATATGTTTATATAACCATGCCAGATTACATACTGTGTATGACTTCAGATTAATTAGTGCTATGGCATTTTCGCTTGCAGCCTTCCTAGAAAAAAAATCAGCTTGAATAACTTTTTGTTAGAAATGTTTTATTATTTAGCTTTTGTTTCATTTTCCTTTTATCATTTTCTAATATCAACCCTTGATTTTAATAAAAACAATTCATTTTTTTTTGTTGGTTTTTGCTATAATATTCAACCATTTAAAATTCTTATCAACCATTTTGAGGTTTACATCATTTTTATATTTAGTATTCAATATTGGCATTTGTCCTGATTATCTTTGCATCTGCAAGCCAAGCGCTTACTGATTCAACCATGCATGCCCTTCAATAATTTGTACACAAATTTATAACTTATAATGCCTTTTACCTCTTCGTCTCCATAGAGCGAGATAAAAATGTTGCGACTTGTATTAATTCTTAATCTATCATTGCACGGTTCCCATAAAACGCTATAGTAAGTTTTCATAGATCATACTACAAATTTGCCCAGATTTCATTTTGAATCTGAGATTTTTATAGCACGGTTTCACATGATATGCACTTGCGGTGTTAACAGAGGATTGACTGTATAATCCTTCATATAATAGATTTGTAAAAAAAATTATAAATTGCCAGAGTATATGAAACCTAAATTTTAGGATAGGCCACAAAGACAGTTATTTTTTCTCACTTATGAATACATTATTTTGCCCTTCCAAATGGACAATATGTAACTGAATTTGCATGTATGTTCTTATATGAGAGGAAGAAAGATTTATTTACAGATAGATCATGATATGCAAGAAAAGCATATCCAAAAATTATCCATCAATAGACCATTGCGAGTTTTTATTTACAACAAATACAAATAATTTGTCGTTAGTTTTAATACTTAGCGATATTAAATTAAGTTTTTCTACATTAATTACTGAGCATTGAAGGATTAAAAATATTTTGGGTTTTATCAAATAATTTATTTCAATTAATATTATATTTTAGATGAAATAGTTTTATATTTTGTAATCTTGGGTTTGAAATATTAATGAGGTGTTACATATTTGTACAAATTTATAAACATATTTACACAAATACATATTTGTACAAAATATATAAACTTTTCAAAAAATATATGATTAAGTTTTTGTGTTTTGGGTATGGATGAATTTTTTCATATTATTATAAAAAGTAATACAAATAAAATAATTATGAACAATTATTTTAGGTAATAAAAAAGAGAATGAATGGGGTAATAGTGCTAGCAGTGCTAACAGTAGTGGTGCCTCATGGGCTTCAGATTCCAGAATGGATCCTCGAGGAATGACAGATCCTCGTGAAGTCAGAGACATGAGAAATATGATGTTGGACCCACGTGTCATGGGAGGTAGTGATTTGCGTAATAATGGTGATATGAGAGGAGATACTAGAGGAATTTCAGGACGTCTCAATGGATCAACTGAAATGTGGGCTCATCAAATGGGTCCTAATAAAATGGTTCCACCAGGTAATATTCATTTTTTAATTTTATTCTCAGATTTTGATAAACTAAGGTTTTAAATCAAGATTTTTTAAAAAAGAGTATTAGATTGTTGAAACGTTGTCTATAAATACATATCATGCATGTTGCTTAATTTTATTTGTATTGTTACTGAAGGCCAGTGGAGTGTTGGTCCAAACGCAAAAGATATGATGTCTACAAAGTCATCGGGATGGGAAGAACCCTCACCACCCGTGCAAAGGCGCAACTTACCTAACTTTGATGATGGTACCTCTCTCTGGGGAGGTCAAAGTGCTGGTACTGGAGCTGCAGGTGGCAGTGGGAGATTACCAAGTGCTGGAAGTGGTGTGGGGTTGGCACACTGGAAAGAACCAGGTGGTGTAAACATGACTGGGAGAGGTGGAGGGCTAGGTAGTGGACCAGGTGGACCAGCACCAAATCGATTGCCTAACAAACCTGATCCCATGTGGATGTCTGGGCCTAGGTAATTAGAAATAGCTTTAGTATTATTCAAATTAATTAAAAAAACTGGTTGGTTTGGTATTTAGCCTTGAGGCAAGTTACATGAACTTTCCGATATGTGTAATTAATCGACTTAATCAATAAAAAATAATTTGATTTATGAGTGATTAAAAGAATTCCGAGTGGATTTATTACATATGATTGAAAACGAACGAACACTTTGACTCTATTATTTTCTAATGGCAAATTTTCAAAAATCACCAGTTTTTATAATTGAACCAGTTTCCATAGGACTTTAATGGTTTACTATGTTCATTAAAACCAAGCACTCTATCGTTATATCAAGAAAATCGTCTAATTTTAATTTTAACAAACGTCAAAAAAACTACTCATTTTCTTAATCTCTGATTAACTTTTAAAATTAAACTACTTGTCGTAAGGCCATGATATTTCAGTAAGTTCTATAAGACCATGATATATATCGCCAAAAAAAGTTACATGAAAATCGACTTAAATTTTTTTTTCAACAGTTAATTACAAGAAAACGGCTTGGTAGATTTTCACCTAAAACTAATCAGTATCATTCCCAATTAATATCTTTCGAACAGTTTTTGATTTTTTAAAATCGATTCGGTAGTTTGAGCTTAAATGTGGACGAAAAGTTTAACACTTTTTTTCAAATTACAAAGAAACGGCTCGGCAGATCGTCTCACAAAACTGACAAATTATAGTCCTCATTGAGATACATCTAATGGCTTTTAAATTTATGAAATCGGTTCAGGCGTTTTTGAGAAAATGTCGATCAAAGGTTTAATTTTGTCAAATGTCAAAGAAACGATACTAATTTTTGCAAACTTTGACGATTTTTCAAAATTAAATGACTTGTAGGGCCGTAATATTTTAGTATGATCTACAAGACCATGGTATCTACCGTCAAAAAAAAAATCATGAAAATCGTCGAAATTTTTTTTAAAAAAACTTTATTACAAGAAAACGGCTGGGCCGATCTTTACCAAAAACTAATCAGCACGATTCCCAATCAATATCTATCGAACGGTTTTTGAATTTTCAAAATTGATTCATAATTACGGGCTAAAACGTGGACGAAAAATGTTTCACTTTTCTGCGATTTACAAAGAAACGGCCTGACCGATCGTCGCGCAAAACTTAGAAACGCTAGTCCTCATTGAGATACATCGAATGGCTTTTAAATTTTTGAAATCGATCCAGGCGTTTTTGAGAAAACGTCGATTTACGGCAAAAAATCGGTTCACACACACACACACATACTTTTTCCAAATTTGGTCTCATTCGATTCAGAATGGCTTGAAACGTCGAGAAAACATAAAATTAGCGAGTCGGATTTTTTGATGAAAACATAAACTTCTCCTTCGGGAAGTTAAAAAATTGTATATTTACTTTATAATATTTTCAGAAATGGTTCTTGGGATGAAAATCCACACAATTGGGATGATAAGGGAGGTATGTCTTGGACAGGTAGTGATAATAGTATGAACCCTGGAGGATGGGGAGGAGGTCCCAAAGTACCCAAACCTAGTGGATGGGCTGATAATGATATGCCTTCAGATTGGAAACCCAATCCACCCTCTAAACAACTCTCTAAGGAAATGGTTTGGAATAGTAAACAATTCCGAATACTTTGTGAGATGGGATATAAGGTAATTGATGTTTTAGATTTTAGGGTTACATACTCAAAATGTTTACGAAATTTATTTGTTACTTGGTTTATTTATTACTATATATTGAGCAAGACATAAAGAGTTAAATGATAAATGTTACTTTTATACTTATCTATAAAATTGACACTTGGTATTTCGTTGTGTTATACTAATTGTATTAAAATTGTTCTCACAGAAAGAAGATGTTGAACATGCACTACGTAATCGTGATATGAATTGTGAAGAAGCTTTAGAGTTACTTAGCCAATTCAGAGGTAATATGGGCAACGTAGACAATTGGGGACGTCATCGTGACGATGTATCTTTCGATCATCCTCCCAACAGGTTTCCTCAATCTAACATGCCTCTTGGAAATCCGGTTAGTTAATATTTAATGTATTTTGTTGTTTTCTATACGTTGAATTATTATACATACATTTTTAATATAACATGTTCCAATTTTTTTACATAATTTCAAACATCCAATGTTAGCAACCCTAAAGTGATTCTCTCAGAATAAATTCTTTCTGAATTTACTTTCTCCTTTTAATTATTGCTTTTATAGTTGTCTACATTATTTCTAAAACTTCATGATGCAGCATGGTAATATATTATATTTTTGAAATTAAATTTCCAGAGTGGAAATGGGCCAAATCTTCTCAATAATATGGGAGGTGCATCTTCAAATACTAACCCTGGTCTGGGTATAAATTCTAATATGTCAGCAATTGCTCCTGCTTTAGTACAGAAAATTGTGAATCAAACGCCATTCTCACAAAGTGGAAGGTTAGTTGATGCATTTTATCAAAACATATGTATATATACTAGAGTTGTTTATAAATTTTGTTGTATCTGACTTCCCGAAACTGGTACTAAATCTATTAACATATGCAGATATTTGCTTGAGATTTTTTACTAATACAAAGATTTTCATCGAAAGAAGCTGTTTCTTTACAACCTCACTTTCAATTTTGACTTTCTATGTATAAAATGACCCAAAATAATGCCATTTTGTATTTTCCATAAAATAAAAATAAAATATAACTGCAAAAATACAGAACAGTGAAATTATGTTTAAGTGTGCATGTAATTTGAGATTTGTATAATTTGTCTTAAGTATATTGTTTGTTTAAATCTAATCAAAATCATGTTTCATGACAGATGTCTTGAAGATGGAACATATCTATATGTGAGTGTGGGTGTATTTATACCTAAGATAAACCGTTGAATTATAAAACTTTATCAAAGATTATATTTTTACCACTCTCTTAATCAATTTTGATTACAATCTACCCTGAGCAATATGTATACTCTGTATTTCATATGTGCTGATGTCCACACTTAAAACATTTTTAGAGCATGAAATAGATCAAATGAAATTTGTTAAACAATCACAGATATTATAAGTGTGTTCGAAAGACATGGATTGGAAATAGTTTTATTTTTCAGTGAAAGAAAAAAATTCATTTTATGAATAATAAGTTATTTCTAAACATTTTACCTAAGTATTTGTTTCTCAATTTTTATTAAGTTGATTATTCACACATATCAGAAAGTTTATGTAACTTGCCTTAAGGTAAAATGTACCTTACAACTAGTTATGTATTAGTATATAAATAAAATATTTATTTCATGAAAACTTCTTAACAAAAGGTTATTTTTTATAGTCAGACATCACCATCTACTCTTCAGTTGCGCATGTTAGTTCAGCAAATTCAGATGGCCGTACAAGCTGGTTATCTCAACCAGCAGATACTTAACCAGCCTCTGGCACCACAAACATTATTATTATTGAACCAGCTACTTCAGCAAATTAAATCATTGCACCAAACTTTAGGTCGTGGAAATAATACTAATAGCCTTCATGTATCTGTTCAAATAACAAAAACTAAGCAACAAATTCAGAATTTACAAAATCAGATAGCAGCACAACAAGCAATGTATATTAAGCAGCAAGCTGGTGGGCATATTCCGGGATCTACTGGACCACCCGAATATTTCAAAGGACATGAAACCATTTCAAGCATGCAAGGGAGTTTTTCTGAAATGTCTCTAAACAAAGATGTACCAGTTGTGAGTATTACACACTTTTTGGTGATGATTTCAATTTGTTTATCATGGTGTATAATTTATTTTAATTTTAGTGCAGAAACTTTTGTAATATAATCCATATTTTATGAATATTTAAAATACTAAAATATTTAGTTCATTGTTAATTGTTTTTTACTGTAAACAAATTAAAACCTTAAGTGAAAAGTTGAATCATTCCAAACTGAAAACAACACATTTACTTTATTGATTTTTAAAGGGTTCAAGTCAACAATCTAGATTGAATCAGTGGAAACTTCCATCTTTAGATAAGGATGTGGACGGAAGTGATTTTTCTCGTGCGCCTGGAACATCTAAAGCTCAGAATCCTAGTCCAAATATGAATCCTCTTGGACTACAAAATGATGGGTATAAGCATTTATAAAGCATATAATTCAATTTTGATAACTCATGAACATGCTTTTCTGTTCCATTTCAGGACATGGTCAGCTGGTAGAAATATTGGTGATGGCTGGCCAACTGATTCAAGTGGAGACTTAACTGATGGCAAAGAATGGCCTGTAAATTCACAATCAGCAGCTGCATTTACTGATCTTGTGCCTGAATTCGAACCTGGAAAACCTTGGAAGGTGATAAATTCAGTATTATTGAACGGTTTTATAGTATTAATCTTACATTAAGCTATAAACTATGAACTATGAATTACTAATGAGAATATTTTTATAGGGAAATCAACTAAAAAGCATTGAAGACGATCCTAGTATTACTCCAGGTTCTGTTGTTCGATCACCACTTTCTATTGCTTCTATAAAAGATTCAGAAATTTTCACATCGAATAAAACATCACCCACCACAGTACCTGAGCTTCAACCCCTCAGTCTTAGTAATTCTACTTGGAGTTTTAATCCATCAACTACACAAAGTTTTTCTAGGTATGAATTTAAATAGTATTGGCATATTACGATTTTATAGTTTATTGTACAGTAAAACCTCCTTATTCTCTGGGGATACGTTCTGTAAAAATTCCTTGAATAAAGAATCTGCAAATACGGATGATAAAATAATTCACAACTAATGAATAAATCTGCAAATTTAGGATGGCATTTTATATGGAATTATAGGGGATATGTTCGAAAGTAAAAAAATAAAGATAAATAAATATTGTTGAAATTCATTATGTAATATGCAATATCTCAAGTATAACTGATTCCATATTAAACTTAGTTATTAGTATCAAATTTAACATTGATATAAAACTTTATATTAATCACAATAATATATTAAAATAAGGGTCGATTTATAAAAGTTTTATATTAATACTAGCTAACCCGCCAAACGTTGTTTTGCTAAGTAAAGTATATTCTAAACAATTTCTAGAGAATCCAAAATATTAATACTTCAAGTGTATAAGGATGTGTTGTTTGAATGCTATATAGAATGAGGTATTATAAACATATAAACCCCATTAAACTACTATTTTGTCAATACAATCAAACTGGAAGTTTTATACACTTTCTATAGAAAACATGGTATAATCCAATCCAAGTCTTTTTTGGTCTTTCGACTTATTGATTTCGTTTCAAGTGTTTCAGATTTTTTTTGGATTCTGGATTTTATGTATAAATGTAAATAATACTAGGAGAGATAGAAAATGAATTAAGTATTCCTTCTTTGACCCAATGTATATATGTAGAGCACGGCGAGGCACAAAGGTTCAATTTGACTGTGAGCAAATATAAACTACTTTGTGAAAACCAAAATAATTATATCACAACAAATAAAACATTTCACACAAACAATTATCTGACTACGTTCAGTAAAACTTCCAGCTACTTCATCATTGAAGAAATGTGCTTTTTTATGTCTTTCACATCTTTTTCCCTCTATTTTCAAATATTGTTGTTAAACAATGCCTAACTTTACTGGTTTTTGACACATCGGTAGTGGACCTTTTTAACCATGGACCTTTATATATTACTATGAACCTTTATATATTACTATCTATTGGATAGTGATGTGAAATGGACCTTTAACCATGAACCTTTATATATTACTATCTATTCTTCGATAAATTCTGGGAAATTATAACTAAAATGTTGAGCACCGTGTTTGAGAAAAATATGATTTGCAAAAAGAGTGCTACAACGCCAAAAAGTGCATTTTCATATTAACATTTCAAAAAAGTTGATATTTTGAGTTTCTAGTAACACTTGAGACTCGTTTAATAATGTTTTTGTGTATAAATAAATCTACAAACAAAACTACTTACTACAATTTAATTTTAATTAAATAATATTCACATAAAACATTCTATTAAACATAATTGAACATCATCTCTCAAAAACGTTGGACATTTCACATATTAGGCACCGTCCATTGTTTTATTTAAATCACGCTTTCTACAAAAATTTTTAAATTAAAAATGTAAATTTTCTATGCGATTTTGAAATAATATCTCATCTTTCAAGACTGTACAAATCGGTTTAGACGTTTTTGAGTTTTAGCAGATCATTTTATCGAGAGCTTCATTTTTATATATAAGATTAGATTTGGTACTAAACTTATTACCAACTAATTTTAATATGGGATCTATTATACTTGCAATATTGCATATCATATAATTGTTCTCGGCGATATATAAAACCAAAATCATTTTTAATTATAGTTTTTGTACATTTTGATTATGTTGAAGCTGAGGCAATGGTTTGAAGAACTTAATGTACCTTTGCTTCTTTAATACAAACCGATACTCAATAGTCACATAAGCAATTTTCCTCTTATATAGAAATTGCACAGTTTATTTTTAATTGTACACTAAGATTTTTCAAATTAAATGTCACATTTCTATTGCTTATAGAACCAATTGAAGTGAATAGCTTTTTTTTCAATAGACTGGGCATGTGGGAATGTAGATTACATTTCGATTTGAATGTAATAAATGAGGTTGCTTTCATTCTATTGGTTTACATTCTCAAAAACAACGATAGCGGCGAAGACGATTCAAAATGACGGCATTTACAAAGAATTTTGAGTTTGATACATATTGGAATTCTCGAATAACGAAATTTTTAGCCGCTAATATAAGAATATTGGGTTGCAATTTTTTTGGACGCGAATAAGGAACTTCTACAGTATTTCATATAATCTTTTTATTTGGTTTGGTAGGAATTACTAATCTAGTCTCTTCACTTTGTTATGTTTTACTTTCAAATATTAAATTTGAGATTATTTTAATTCTGTCAATATTTTCTTCAATTTTGATTTTTCTTATTGGTCAGTTCATTAAGCAAAATAGGCGGCTCTAAAAGTTCTTGGTCTGCTGGCGAAACTGGACAAAATGCTCCCAGTGCAACAACTGCAGAATTATGGGGTGCTCCGGTGAGCAAATCTCGTGGCCCACCTCCTGGACTAGCTAACAAAAGCTGGAATAGAACTGGCTGGGCATCAACATGGTTATTGCTCAGAAATTTAACTGCACAAGTAAGAATCAGTTTATTTATTATATTCAACTAACAATAATTCAAAGCTATAATTTTTGATAACGACATTGTTCAAACTTACAACAATTTTATTATTGAAAATTTTGTGACAAATATTTTTCTTTAACTAGATTGATGGATCTACTTTGAAAACACTATGTATGCAGCATGGCCCATTACATAGCTTTCACTTGTACCTGAATCATGGCATTGCTCTTGCCAAATATTCTTCAAGAGAAGAAGCCAACAAAGTAAGATTGCATTATTGTTTATTTGCAATAAATTCACTTCAATTATTTTATTATTTAAAGGTGTGGAAATAATAAGAAAAAATAGCCACAAACACAGCATTTATATATATAAAAAGGACTATTGGTTTTGGCTAAATGATGCTAATTCAAAATAAAAAAAAATCACTAATAATATATTATTTAACATCATTTGTTATAAATAACATAGTCCAGATCATTAAGTGAGATAAAAAAAAAGCCACTATCACCAATTTTTCAATTATATCTCAGCATATTACATAAATAACTTAAATACCAAGGTTAGATGAGTAAGTTCTAGAAGGTCAAGTAATATGCAAAATTAGTGAGGTCAAGTAATATGCAAAATAGTTTTTTTTATAATTATGATTTTAACTTGCTAAATTTAAAATTGGTCATATTAAAATTGTGTGAGTTGGAAATCTGTAACATACTTTTTTTTAGTTTAGTTTTGAAAAAAAAAAGCTTACAATGGCTTACAACATATTATCTTGCAGAAATTTTGTTATACTACTAATTATATTTTCAATAGATAAAAATCATATTACTTATTTTTTTCTTTTGAATTTTATTTTAGGCTCAAACAGCATTAAACAATTGTGTGTTAGGAAATACTACTATTTTTGCTGAGAATCCATCTGATAGTGAAGTAAATAACTATCTACAATCCTTGGCTCATGGAGCTCCTCAACCACCTAACCAGGTATCCCAAGGCTCTTGGAGGCCTCCACAGCCGCCCTCTAAACAAGGTACTCCTTTTTATCATTTAATTTGGCGTTATTACAAATTACTGCAAACAAATTATATATTTATTAATAAATTTTGTAGTGTTATTATTAACGTTCTGTAGGGTAAGTTATTGTAATCGTCCAAAAATATAAAATGAATTTTTTTTGTATATATTCACGTTTCAGAAGTTTCGGCATAGCTTAGAAAAAATTGATGTATGTATGTGTGTGCATATGTATGGATACAAATTTTCGTGTACTTTTCGGCAGCACGGTTTGGTCGATTTAAATGATTCAATTCCTTTCATTCGATTCCTATTGATAGAGAGATGTGCTGATTAGTTTCTGGCAAAGACAGGTTTAGCAGTTTCGGTGATACGAAGCAAAGAGTGCAGAAAATAGAAATCGAGATTTTGAGATAACGGAGCATCCGATTTGGTAATCCAAAAAACATTCAATTAATTAGTAATGATAGGAAGAAATGGTGATTAGTTTTTGGCAAACGCCGGTTTGGCCGTTTCGGAGATAGGGAGATAAATAAGCGGTTTAAAAAAAAATCGGTTTTTGAGAGAACTAAGAAAGAACTAAGCTTGAATGATTCAAGTTTTATTTATTTACTTTTTATGTAAACATATATAAACGCCGTCATACAATTTATAAGTTCCTATATTTTGTCTTTAACATAGAAATAATTTTTCACTACTATACGGCAAGTTCTAGCAATTTGCCTTAAGGCACGATGCCATACACTACTAGTTTATTATAAATTTCTAAATAAAATGAAAAACCAAAGTAATTATGAGTTTTTCAAAGATTACTAAATAGCATAACTATATTATGTTCTTACATAATGGGTACATATTGTACTATATTTTGCAATATTCGTACTAATCCAGAGGTTTTGCAAAATGTAAGAAATTACTTCAAATTTGCGTAGAAACTTTACATTTTTAATGTTAAAAATTTTGTCCCAGCGTAATTTAAAATGAAATAATCGACTGCGGCTCATACTTCAAATGTCAAATGGTTTTGACAGATTATTTTCAATTTATTTTAATAGGGTGAATATTATTGAATATTATTTAATTGTAGTATGTAATTTTATTTGTTGTTTTATTTATACTTATAAAACATTTTAAACAGGTCCCAAGTGTTATTAGGAACTCAAAATATTAACTTCATTAAAATATTAATATGAAAATAAACTTTTTGGCAAGTCTGTACTCTTAAAGAACTTATTATTATTAGTTTTATTTAGGTTATTTAAATTAAGATTCTCAATTTGGAATCAATTGAAGGGGACATTGTTGAATAACTTATTTCGAGTTATAACAGTCAACAGTTTAAAGAAGAAGGTTTGTCTGATAACACAATTATTAACTTTGTGACACACACCTATAAAAATGTCAATAATGTCAATGTACAAAATTCTTAAGAATGAAATATTTTGAAAATTGATTCTAAAGCTCGTATTCTATTAAATGCATCAACAGTTTAAGTATTAGAACAATATATAAAGGTTCGGGGTTAAAAAGTTTCACCACCGCTATGTCAAAAACCAGTAACGTTAATCATTGTTGAACAACAATATTTAATGTAGGGGGAAAATGATTGTAATCAGGTATCATCTTGATTCTTATGACTTTGCTATTGGGAGGTAAACGATAATCTTTCAAAATCCATAACAAAAGTATTTCCTTTCATTGTTAGTTTTTTGGGTTGTGAGCACAGCACTGTGGCCTAGTTGATGAGACCTTAATATAATTCTTAACTCTATGTTAATTGATTGTTTTATAAAATGTAAAGTTAATTTTAAGTGATATTCAACAGTTTTTTTTTATATAACCACTAAAATGTAAAATTATTGCAATTTCAGTCAAGTTATAAATAGTGCACAGAAAAGAAAATAAATTTTTTGCAAAACTAATATCAATTCAAAAAATAATATTTGCTATTTTACCTATTCTCCATGGAAAACCACATTAATTTTAATTTGTGAAATTCTATGTGTAAACAAATTGTTCACAGAGATATATTTTTCAATACACTTTTAATATATGAAAAATAATGAAATCTTAAGTTTTTCATATATTGAAATATATTAGTCAGAACTTATACGGCGAATGAAAATAATCACTAATAATAATTATTGTTTTATTCGGCGCGTTGGATTTTTTATTATGACTAATGAATATACTTATATACAAGATATAAATAAATTTTGATTTTTAATAAATATTTCCATACTTATATACATAATTTGTCGAGACGCGCGAAAACGACGAGCTTATGCTTGCTCGTCGCTCTTGAAAAGCGACTTTATATGGGCATTCTAGTACCGGCAGCTCGCGTACTAGCTTAAGTTTTTCCAACTTTTCTCCCAAAGTTCCACTTAGATTTAAATGAACTTTGAATAATAGAAGAAAAATGTACAGGCTTTCGAATGATGCTAATATAAAAGCAGTCAAACAAGCCGCACTGGTAGAAAATGGAAAATGAAAAATCATTTTTACCTTTTCACGCACTAACAAATAATTTTTTCACATTATTCGTTATGAACAACATAGACAAGATCAGTATTAACAAAATGACGTTAACAGTTTTTCGATATCTCTCATATTTCCGACAAAAAGTGAGTTTGAAAAAAGGGGCCACTTTCACATGTTTTCACTGATATCTCGGCCAAATGATGAGCTACGGATTTGAAATTTGGTATTTCGAATTTTCTCAAAATTACCTATAAAATGGTATCAAAATTATTTAAATACCAGGGTGGGGCCAATTCTGTATGGAAACACGCCCATACCCTTTATATGCATTTTTTCCAATTCTGTATGCACGCTGCGCATATGAGGCAAGGAGTATAAATATTTCACTTCTACGGTATACAAAGTGAGTTTTCTCATTTTTGCTCAATGTCTATGTGTAGGCAGATTTTTACGAAGGAATCAAAACAACATATTGATAGGTTTTGTTTTGAATCCAAAGGTTGGTTCAACTACATTGACAGCAATCAAAATTGTTGTAAAAGACCACGTATTACTATCGAAAAATATATATTTTCAACAAAGGTAAGGTATAAATTTATTCAACACATGTTCAATAATATTCAGGAAAACGTAGTATAAAATTTTAGTAACTGTTCATTATACGATGTAAATATAATTATGCCCAGCAAATCGCAGAAATGGGGTGTAAAATTTTGATAACCATCCAGTATACGCAGAAAACTGAGAATTTCTTTGAGGATTTATAACCAATGAAACCGTATTATCAAAATCGCTAGTACGATGTAAAAAATTAAGCATTTTTACCATCCTACTTATAGCTAAACTTTTAGTAAAAAAAAGAAACTGTGATGGTAATAATATCTTCACTACAATCGATATATTTTAAAATATATTTTTTACATACATTTAATAATTGTTTATATTGCATATGTGACTTGTATATAGGTGTTATTTGTGTTTTTTGTTCTTGAATTATGCATATAAATTGTTTCTTCTCTAAGGCGGTGACACTTGGGGTGGTTCTGTTTGGCCACCGAGTGGAGGTGGAGGAGGAGGCTCTCTCTGGGCCAATTCATTAGATGGCTCTGCTGAACAACGAGGCACACCATCAAGTCTCAATTCATTTTTACCCGGTGATCTTTTGGGAAATGAACCCATGTAAATCGAAAAAGTGTTTCATTTGTAGATGTGTATGAAAAATTGTACAAAATGTTTTTATATGGTACAACTTATGTGCTAAATAAGCACGAGTACTAGTCCATTTACTTAAATACATGAGTATTTGATTAGTAGTGATTAATCAAAAATTCCATGTGTATGTTATATCAGATACACAAGCCCATTTACCATTATTAACACACATGATTTATTAATCATTGTTTGTTCATTTTGTTTTTTACATTGGTGTGCTACAAGAGCCAATGTCAATTGGTATGCTAGTCATTATTCTCAAACTGAAAGTAGTTGGAAAAGAGCTTTGAGATTATTAAAGATGTCCTTATCGATCGGATTATCTTTCTTTATTTTACTCATGTTTATCTTATTTATTATGCAATCATTGCTTTCTAAAGCATGTATAATTAAATTGATTTTAAGTTAAGTGATAAAAAATATAGTTGTGACTATGTAAGAGGTTAATTGTTTCTAATGTTAATGTTACAAATTATAAAAATATTAGAGATTTACTAAGCTTTTTTGTTTTGTGTTAAATTATGAATGGTTACTTTACATTCAAATAGCATAAGGATTAAATTTAATGTAAACTGAAAAAAATTAATATCTGTGATTGAAATATTAGGAAGTCATTAAATACCGGTCTCCAAATAAATCGAGTTCAATGTCTAGTTATAAATTTTTTTAATTTTGAACCTTGCAAAATGTGGAACATTTTATTAGTCATTTTGTCATAGTATTAAACATAAGCTGGTTTGCATTTAATAATTCTTTAAAAGACTGTTAATGAAACTTAATTAGGTAAATACCTAACACAAATTTATTGAATAAACATATAATTCAAGTTACTAAACTAACAAAAAGGATGATGGGTGCATGATTCAAAAAAAAGACTAGCATTAAATTTGTTTAATGAATTTCTTTTAATAACATAAGAATATATAGATATTTATTTTATGTTTTTACTGTTTCTATTGTTGATGTAATGTTTGCAATATATTATTAAGTAATGTTGTCTATATTTTTTTTTGGTACTTATTTTCTTGTTTTGCTTTTTTTTGTCAGAAGCATTCATTATCCTACTAAAATGACCAAATATTTATTTTTTATGAGGGATATTTCAATTATTCTCTAACAATAATTGTGAAATATCAAATTAGATTTTTCATGTTAGTATATATAATTTTGAGGAGTGTTTCCAAGTGCAAATAAATATGGCCTTATTAATTTTCAATATCTCAATGTTTAAAACAAATGTACTTGAACAAATAATGATTTTTTTAATTTCATCATGCGTTAATAATGGTATAAATTCAGGATTGGACTTTATTCTTAGATGACATGTTTATATTTGTGTGTTACATATATGTAATCGACATATGTTTATAAAGACACAAATAGAATGCCCAAAATGAAATTATCCTGTGATCTCCAAGTCCTAATGTGTATATCAAATATAAACAATATAATAGCAAAATCAATTAAATTTAGGTTTTAGTATAATGTTAAGCAAAACACCACTTAGCAAATTTCAAAAGTATAAGGATTTAGAAAAGCAGCATTTTCTCAAAAAAAATCAGATATTTAACCAAAATCAATTAAGCTTTTGTGCCAAATTCCATTAAATTTAAGCAAACGTGAGCCAAAAATAATATGAATTGATACTTCGTGATATATAACATGACTTTATGTTCAGTAAACTTTATTATTTTTTTTTTTATTGTTTATTTGTCATAACTATGAAATTGAAGTCAAAAATGTTGTTTCAATTACAAAAAATATGTGTGCTTTTAATCCTTAAACTTGAAATTAGTTAAGAAAAATCTTTAATATAACTTATACAATTAGTATGTAATAAATAGAGAAGAATTTCTGAAAAAAGTATCCCTTCGTAAACCCATTAAGCCATTAAGTGTGTGTCTAAAAGAAATATAATTAAATGGGTTAGGTAATTTTTATAAATAACATATATCATAAGTATAAACTTGATTAAACCATACAATGAATACAAAAAATTGTATGTTTAGAATTTCAGTGTATATTGACCTCCCTTCCCCCCTTGAAAGCAATATACGATAATTTCTTCTTTTGATACAATTTTTTTTGTGATTTATTGTATGGTTTCTTTTTTGAATATTTTTAACAAGGCACAAAGGACCTATTTGCCTTTGTATTTGATGCATTATTTTGCTGTGTATTATAAGATTCATAGTCTATATATTTATAATAGAGATTTTTATGCTGTCCAAAAAAATTACATAACTGTGTTGTATGGTGTTCAATATTGCATATTTAAAAAATTTAAAAAAAGAAAAAAAAGTAGTGTGTAGTAATATGAAACTAGTATATTTATTAAGTTTAGATCTCGTAAGGAAAATATTAAATTTGTAGTTAAGTGTTCACGAGTGTGTGTTGTGAAGATGAAAACAGAAACATCAGATGGTGTTGCTGGTTATTAGAATTACCTTACAAAAACAAGTACTGTCTTACTTAATGTGATCCTTCATATTAGAAAATACAATGAGTATTAAATATATATTAAAAGAGATTCTATTTCATAGAATATTCTAGTTACTACTCTGATGTATGTATGGATGTGTTGCAATTTCTGTGGCAATGCGCTTTTTGTTGATCCATGATGCTGTTTTGTTTTATTTTTAGTTAGGTACTTGTTCTTGAAGTAGTGGTCATAATGATATTATTTGGGCAATAATGTACCTGATGCCGTAATTATTCCAATAAAGTTTACTAGTCTATTATTGAACCACTATTTGAAGTCAGAAATATATAGTTATATCATATCAATTTTTGTTAGTAATGTATTTATTTAGCCAATAGCAAATAATTTAAGACTGAAATATTTATATTAAATAATATTTTGAGTTTCTGACCGCACAGTTATATCAATTTATTATGGGTGCCCATTTTTATAAATGATCTCAACATGAGCGCATTGCCTGCCATCAAGTGTGAGTAATTAACGTGTAAGAAAATACTGTATTAATTGTTCAACTGTGCTGTGAAAATTGAGTGGCTTTTTAATTTATAGTATGTAAAAATCATGGAAATTCTTTACAATGATCAATATTTTTTCCATTTTCTAATTAGGTTGATCAGTGAAAAATCAAATATCTTTTTGAATTGCAAGTGTGCATATCGAATAATGCATATTTATTGGGTCAATCAAAAATTCAAAATAATTTTGAATTTTTAGTATTTTTTTCTCTGTTTTTTTTTCTGACCAGCAATGAAAATGATAAGTGTTATTATTTTTGAACAAATCAGTATATTGACTGAGCTTCTTCAATCTAATGAACATAATCAACAATTATTGAGAATGTGACAGTGGTTAAGTAATTGGACCAAACAAAATGTCTTCTACATATAAAATAATTTAATTTATAAATAAGAATAAAATATTTATCTACAAATGTGTAGTTTGTATACTATTTACTAATATAAGATTAATGCATAATATTAGCAATAGAAATGTAAATTATCTAATTTGCAGCTCAGTCAACAATTGTTTTCCTATAAAAAGTCATTTGTTTTTCTTCGATTCTATCTGAAGTAAATAATCAAGAAACAGAGATAAAAACACTGAAGAATTCTGACAATACATACCCAATTTTAAATTAGTTTAGTACAATTCAAAGATCTATCTTAAATGTTACAGTTATATTTTTCAATCATTACCTGAATATTTACAATGGCTTATTTGCAATAGCATATAAAAATATTGCTAATGGTATATAAGGAAAAAAATTAATATTTTATCTATGCGCTTATTTTACTTTCAAATAATAATTATGTATTAAGTCCTTATAAATTATGGCAAATATAATTTTAATGATGTTAATTAATATGGTTAATTACATGAATAGTAATATAATTGTTATTTTTTTGAGAAAAAAATGTACCAAATAAGAGAAATAATTTATAGACTTTATTTAAAAGTGCCCAATGAAATACAAATTTTCTGTTTTAGGTACATAATTATGTTTCATATGTTCATATATGTTGGCAAATTGTGATTTTTTTTGCAAAGACATTTCATGACCAATCAGAGGATCTGTAAGGATATATTTATTTATGTATATGTATTTTATTTTTACTATCCAATGCAATTAGGGAATTTCAATTAAAATTGAATTTAATAATTTAGATATGTGTTATAGAAAGTAGTTGTGCATATGAATGGATAATTATAAGTTAGCCCAGTGTTGTAAAGGTTCCCTGATCATTCTTATGGACTATACTACTGAAACTAATTCAATATGGCAATCTATAAGGGTTAATATTAAAGTTATACTTAAAAAAAATATTCTATATATAAATATATATGTTTAATGTATTTAGATAATAACTTGCTTGAGTGACAAAATATTTCAATGAATGCTTATAAATAATTTTGATTAAGCTCTTCGTACAAGAGTAGAAAAAAATGCTAGTGTCAAAGTCTACACTTGATGAATAGATTAAGTTATTGAAATTTGTATCTTATATACATTTTCTATTTTTTGTGATATAGTAGATAGGTGAATAATAACATGCTTGGAAATTTTAAAATTGTTGCAATAAGCAAATATAATTTACTCAGTCTCAAATGATGTACAATAAAGTAATATATATGGATATTTGGTGCAATATCAATAATCATGACAATATTCATATTATTGTTTACCTATACATATTGTAATGATTTTATGTATTTCTGTTGATAGCGAGCTTTCCATTTTCTGCCTATAAAATGTAATGTATATTTTTATGGGCAACTCCAAGTGCGAAAAGAATATTATTATAGAAAAATGCCTCTTTAAATTTTATTTTGGACATACCTCTGTGACCTATTGGGTCTTGTGATCGTACCATATGCATAGATTTTAACTTACGAATGACACACAAACATATTTATACTCACAAAAGATCTCGCAAAACACCATTACTTATTTTCTTTCGCTAAATTAGAATAAATAATAATAATATGTAATAAGCACCAAAATGTGCCTAATTTGAAAATTAGCAATTACATTCGATAGCATAAACTGTAATGTTGGTTTACGAGATTTTATGGAAATAAACAAAAAAATATCTGTATGTGTGCACTAGAGAAGATATCAAGTCAACAGTCATACAAACTGATTTCATATGTGACTTCTATAATGTGTTAGCTGTAATTTTAACAATTAATCTAGATATATAACAGATTCAAACAAAACCCATTTTAAGTTAAGGCAAATACAAAAAACATACACTTACTAAGTCTGTTAGGTGATAGGTATTAAAATATATAATATAAAATAATATATTATTATCATTAAATAATTATCTATCTGTTAATTATACTTGTAATAATAAAGTTAGATATATAAGCGAGCTCAAATCCCAATATTCACGTTTCAAATACACCATTTTATGTATTGCGTACTTTGTTTAACATGTGTATGACATATGTAG